ACCGAAGGTAAGTCCGGAAAAATATTCAAGTAGAACCTCAAAGCGGAGCGAGAGGGAAAGCGCGCGCGAATGGAGGGAGAGAGAGGGAATGTTATACAAAGCGACAAAGACGTTTGATTTTTCCCTATGTATCCTTCCATCCCTAGACTTATTCCTCGTAGACCTAGTTGAACAGAACCTCCCGAAAGTGGAAATATTTTTTCTTCTTATGGCCATATCGTTTATAGGGCATAAAATACAAGTGCGAACGTAAACGTCTCCCAACGGATTTGCAAAAGTAATCACCCCCAAGGGATTTGTAAAAATAACCACCCCCTAAAAGTTCGCCCAAATCATCGTATGTACCATTCAAGCTGAGAAATAACTTTGTAATTTTCAGCAATTTCATTTACAGTAACTATCACATCATTTCCCGCTTATTTTAGCTTAATAATGTGGCGTGACAAAAACAGAGGTTGTTGATTAGCCAGAGTTTCCTTGTAGTTCTACTAACAATATTACGGTTATTTAAAAACTTAACAACTGAATAACCTCGTTTAACCCAGCCACTCAACAATTCGACATGTTCGCTAAAACTATTTGTATATTTCCACAACTCTTTCTTACGAGATAATTATTACCTTGTTTAGGAGTCCAATCTTACCTCACGTAATTCTAGGGCTCGTACATCTTTAAATACACTGATGAACGACACGCTTGAGAACCGACGCGGAGATTTTGTACACCCCACAGAGCTTCGAAAAGAACCAAGTTATCGCGGGACTCCCCTATCTATGTTCTATCTAACAACGGAACAATTGGTTACTCCAATAGCGATTGACAGTGCGTCTCCGTTCTCCCCAGTGGCAGTGGAACGAGTTACGAATTTTTCGAAACATGTTGCCCTTTTCTTTCTCCCGGGGCACGAACTTAAGTCTAAGTCGAGTCGAAGCAACGGCATTTACGTACCACTAAAAGGTGTCTGTTGGACCTGCTGACTTCTTCTAGCCCGGCCTGATGCTGACTTCCTGGCTGTTTCGACCTTGGTTAACACGATCGCAGAATAAGCAGTCAAATAAGCATTAACTAATTGTGTTGTTGTGTTATTTTATTTGTCACTACAGTTACCTTTGACGGGTACGGTACGACAGCATTTACGGTCTTCGTGTAAACGTACACACGTTAATTAGCTAAGTACTGATTGCGACACCTACGAGCTGCAATCCAGTCGATAAAAAGAGTTTAAAGTAACTGTTAATACCCTCGCCAATAGTCGAAAGCAGCTGAGTTTGTGGTCACTCTGGACTGGAATGTTTTTTGTTGATATTTAAATATTGTTTGCCTGTCCCCGTATTGATGCAGCCGTAACTCGTCCTTTTACCTTTTAAAAGTCTTTTTTCTTAATTGTTGCTTGAATTTCATAGAACAGAGAAATTTGCCATGTTAGGCTCCGCCAACGATTTGAGTGGCATCAATGTCGAGATATAGGTACGTTTCTCAGGCCAAACTTTCACTTTACATTTGGGTATCACGTGTTGTTTGAGGCTGACGGAAGCATGTCATTGTTTGTCACTTTGGTGACTTTTGAAGGATTTGCAAAGCGAGCAGATAAAGGAGAGGGAACGTCACTATAAATTATCTAAATATATACCTTATATGTTTCTGTCTACGAATCAAGTCGTGCACGATAAATCAAATACAATATTACGCACTAAAGAAGTTGCCTCCAACAAAAATATCCCATCATATTCCCATTGCATAGTGGCTACTCCAACTGCCTAAAGGACGTCTTTACTGCTACTGCCTCGAATACGATCTGATCACACACTTTGTATTACCACTTACTGCAAAGGTACGTCCGTCTTTTAGCCATGGCTGCCTCTCAATAAGCTTCAGTGCATCTGCTTGCGTGTAGCCTGTTTTGGCTTTTCTTTCTTTCCCGGTGAGGCTGTAAGTACCGAGCAATCGGCCTGGGATTTGGAGGCAAGAGGCTGCAAGCAAGAACCTGCAACAAAGAACTGAAAGGACAACCGAGAAAATTTAAACCAGTCGTTGATTTTATTATGCCCTTGTTTATTCCTCGGCGAGATAATAAAGAATATGCTGGATACGGTGATAATGGCTGCTCTCCGACTACCCACATGACCTGGATAACAAAAAGGAACTGCATTCTGGTAAAGCGCTTGTTTTTGAAGCAGATTAATAATTTGGATATAAGTTGTTTAAATTGGTAGATTTTTAGTTTCTTTTTTTATACATCAAGACGTTAACTGGCACATGCGTTGGTTTTTGTAAGAGGCAGTTACTTTCCTGGTTTTTGCTTTGTAGACGTGCAACCTATACTATTAATGCCCTAAATTCGCAAAATGTTATAAATACTGCTAAATGGTAAAAACAAAAATACTACTTGTCGAAACCCGAACTTCTATTAGTGGCTAGTTTAATCTAACAAATTTAGCATCCTTTAGGAGCATAGCTGGAGAGGGTCGAAACAAACATATTATTTAAGCAGGGGTTCAAACTCTCCAAGCTTCAGCAAAGGGAAGCTTCTAAGTCTACACTTCAGATCATCAAACTACTTTGACACGGCGCTGCGTTCTGTTCATTTCGTTCAAGATATCGATAGTTTCTGGTATTTCACTCGTTTTGGCTTTGGTTTTTGCTGATATCAATATTACGGTACTCTCACCTACGAACAAGTTACGAATGATGTAAATGCCACACTAAATAAACACAGTGTATTCTTGATTTAATTTTACCAAAAATGTATTATTTGATTCCATCTGGGCTGAACTATAGCCAACATGTGTGAAAAGGTGCCGCACATTGAGTCAAACCCGAATCGATCCATCGTTTGAAAAATTATGCTTTCTATAGGTACGTTCCTATTGGCATCCGTAGTTCTTATGACGTTGCATACATCAACATGAACAATCGAGGTCAACATTTTTAAGCCTAGGGCTGGAGAAATTAACAATTGGGGCTTGATATTGCCTCGATTGTGGCTTAGTGGTAATTGAGTTTGTTCTTACTTGATCTAAAACAGTTATATATTATACGATGTGTTGTAGCAATCTCAACATTCAGGAATATGATGAACCTTGACGAAGGTGCCGAGCAAGAGCTGCAATAAATAGCCGGGACGATGAAACGATGTTCAGCTATATTACGATGCTTTAGATACTAGAGTTTAGAAAGCCGCGTCTAAGTACCTAGTTGAGCTGCGTAGCCGTCGTTCACTAAACTGGTGAAAACTCGAAAAAAAGATACTGAAAATTAACTGACTGACATCGACTTGAACGACTCCGAGAAACATCCAAATTACAGATTCAACACAATAGAAGATATGTCTTCGCTCGATCTCATCGATCAAAGCAATTACTGTGGCTTGGCTAAAGGGCTCACGCTAATTGAACCCAAAATGCTGATTATGCTTTTTCTCGCCTTCCGCTTTTGCAAAAAATCTCATAGTGGGCATACCATTGTGGGTCTAAACAGATACCCTTAGACCCTTTAAAACTACTGCATCTCCCAGCCGACAGCCATCGAGGAGTGGGAGACTTGAAAAGTGAAGCTTACGGCCCTTAAAAGAACTCAAAGGCTGGCTTATATATACTTTTACTTAACTCTTTCGATGTCTTCATTATAGGAAAATGCTAAAAAGTGTCTTTAATGCAGTTAAGGGCATGATTCCAATAAACGGTGCGGAACCTTTACGCGTCCTTCTTACCTAGGACTATTCTAGCCGCATTACTATCAGTCGAATCATATTTAATTTTTACGCATAAAACCTATATAATAACTTTAGTGCATTATTCGATCTGGTAAACATGTTTATGCCAGTCACTCAAATCGGTATGGAACGGATAGAAGCCTCTTGAGCGTTGGTGGAGCTGAATAAATATGTTTGTCGTAGAAATTATTCAATACAGCTTCTAAGACAGGAACTTTAGTACGATAGATTGTCAAAAGGCTCGGGTCAATCACAGCTGTTTGTTATAACAAAAAAACATTATTGTAGTATTAGGCCGGGAGAAACATTTGTTTGCCTATTAGAAGGTTATCACACGCCTAAGAACACAGATATGTGTGAGGTAAAGAAAACTTTTTTAATCGGAAAATTGAATGCAAATATAGTTAGAAGAGACATCAAATGGACTGCGTAGTTCAGTAATAATATTACCATGTTCGTTTTTACCTGTATTAGTAGTATTCCAAAGTACAAACTAGGCAGACAAATCTGTTAAAAAGTTTTACACTCGAATACCAACAAGGCAGCCAGATTGCATCTAGGTCCGAATCTAACTATTCCAAATTCTATCTTCACAAATCCCCAAAAAATACCAGATACCTGCGTATGTTTAACAAGTATGATACGTAGTGTCAGCGATTCAACCTAGTCATACTAACTAAATGAATGTTTCCAGTTTTCACGTCTAGGACTGCTGTTAAATAGAATTTTTAATGGCTGCCTTCCAGAGAAAAACGAACTGAGTCCACGCTGGGCTTCAAGCTTGTTTTTAAGGAAGTTCGGAGAATTTGACGGCCTGCGTGGGTCATATGGACACATTTTTTCGGATAGTCAATAGTGTGGGACTACCATTAACCTTAAGAGGCAGTTGACGCCAAGTGTTGTGGAAGGTCTCATAGGCCAAAAGTACCTACCCACCAACCGCAGTCGTTAAAGAAAACCCCTGCAAGGCCTGAAACACTTATCGTGTTATTCCGAAGCTTGTGTTGGCAAGGGATTGTCAACGTCTTTTCTGTCTCAGAGTCTGTGTTTTCCGCAGAATTACCAACTCTAAATAATTTCACCCATACCTAAGCGAAAAAACATGTTATTATTACACCATCACAGAAACTGCAATCATATTAACTGTAGTGTGCTAGCCTTTCCTTTCCAGGCGCAGCTTTGACCATTTTGTTGGCTACTTTTTTCGACAAAAAGCCAAGAGATATTTTTGCGAAACATCTTACTAGTTCTGATTTTTCTTATTTTGTTCTTCTTGCTTGTTTTCCAGATGCATCGCGATTTACAACCCACTATCGCATCGGTTATCACGTAGATGTGCTCTAATTATTGTAGCATTAATATGGCTTGTTAGTTGCGTCATTGCGCTACCAGGGTATGCGTTCGCCCAGACGCGAAGTTATGAAGATCGCATCGTTTGTTCACTGAGTTGGCCGGAGCTCGGCGGAGTCAATCCGAGTCAAGTTGACTTCATGTGAGTACTATGACAATAATATTATAATAGAAATATTCATAGTTATATAACATATACCAATAAAGAGCTACTTACGTCCACAGAAAACTTTGACCGTGTTTCCAGAAGCCGTTGCTCGATTCTGAGTTTCACGAACTCTTATACCGAATAGTTCAGAAAGTAAGTAAGGTATCCTCTAATAATCCATCATCGTTGCCGAGTTTTTACGCCTCACCTGCTCAGTCAAACGTCATCTCATTTACAGGTTTTGTCAAGAGGGTTGGCAAAATAGGACAGGTGCGTGAATCAAAACAGTAACTCTACGGTTTCTAAAAGCTCCAACCTCGAAAACACGAAATTTGCTTTCGTCAACAATTTCGAATGTAATCTCCTGACAGTTAATTAATGAGCTCTGTAACATACGGTGATTCTGAAGATACGCCAAACCAATATCGAAGGTGTTCACAGCTTTGAGATGTGCTCAATTGCTTAAATTAGTTCAGTTGATTAAATTAATTAATAGACACAAATGAGTGGCCGAAGCCGGCTAGCTCGCGCCACCCACAAGTTACTTGACATGCGGATAAAGCAAGCTAACAGGTGTTTCTGTAGACAATACACACTGCATTGCTTAGATTTGTTGTTAATTGGTACATAGAGGAAATGAGAATAATATATGTGGAGTTATTTTGCAGATTATACCGCGGTATAAATCTATAATATAGATACATAACATAATGGAGTCGATGGTAAAAAAATTAATATTTCATTAGACGGACTGTGCTCTCAGGGATAATAAGTATTCGGTATATAGTAATACCATACCGATACATATTGCCTCTAATTGCTATTCAACGCGGTCTGCAAATATCATAATCTGATCACGATTGTGAAATATTTTTTTCGGCTAAATCATATCACATACAAAATAATCATAATTAAGATAGATATTTCCCAGTTACTGTAACATCCGCAAATAATGCCTGCGATGTTGCATAGACAGAAAGAGCTATAGTTGTCGGTGTCCACTACTGCAACGACTCCGTATCAGCTAGATATATATAATACAGCCTGAGGTAATCCTCTGAACGGAGTAAAATTTAGTACTGACCATCTATCTGATCAAACTTTTGAGTGTTTGCTTTATATTACAATCGTCATGACATATACAATATTTTCATTACTAAGAGATACAATACGGCAATAGTTGCCCGTTATTTGATTCGAGGTGACTATACTGTAAACTTAAGTAAGATTAAGGGGTTTCTCAACTAGTAGAAATTCTATATACTAACACATCACGACCCAGCAGGCTGTATAGTAGAGAGGCCGATGATCCAAGATTAACTCATGACAAAATGTGCATAAGTTAAGCTGTAAAACTTTACGAACCCATTCCTATCAGTGTAGTTTTTATAACAGGTACCTATACACCGAAAGAGATATCAGCTGGTGTTTATGGTCTTTTGGCTTGGCTGATTATCTAAAATAACCCTCGAACTAGCTTAAGCTAGACCTCCATTTATTACACATACGGACATAGATATTTGTGTATCAGTTGCGCAGGATACGGAGAGGCTTCTCGGATCAACTCCTTTTGCAGCGGTACTTCTTTTGTATACTAACAACACGATAAACTTCGTAGACGACTAACGCGAATTCTTATGGTACTACAGTTCTCCGTCGTCTTATACCGCTAAAGGTTAAACGAAAGGCGCAAGGAAAAAGTTTCTTTCACAGCCGTACTCAAAAGATCTCCGTTCATACCCGTTCAGAGCAAAATGCCCTTTGCACCGTTCTTCCGTCAAAATGACCTTCTATTCCTAACTTTTCCCCACTGCAGGTAAAACGGCACCGTTTGCTGTTCTAAATTTCTAACGCTACTCATTGTTTTGTTCAAACGTAAAAGTAAGCTCGAAGTCCGTAAAACTCTTGGTTTAGGCAAGCGACTTTTATTGGCATGAATGAAATCAACCCCAACGAAAAATCAATAGTGGCTTGCGCTGATAACCGGCCGGCAGCTCTAAGGTGCTTAGTCGTATCACTGCTATCTCCCTGGTGGGACTCCCTTCGTCTCATCGAAGTTACCAGCATTTAAAGTGAAATGAAGTACCGCATTTTGCACGGAATTACTTCCTGACTGATGGAGCGCAGTCACTTGGTAGATGTATAAATATTGTACACGTACAAAGCATCGCAAAAATATACCCAAGGTTTGAATGATCATAACTTCAGTTCCATTATCGTATAATTGATATTTAAATTTGAAAATGATCTATAAAAGATATATAACGTTTTCTTTTACCGCGAATATTCAAAAAATTATTATCCTTCTAATTAGTACAGTGCTGAGAACGGACGAGTATTACTTATCAAACTCTAACAGACATTTCAATTTGCGTATTCTTTTTTCACTCGTAGCTTTCAAAACCTTTTAGCGTCGTCAGCTTTCTGGCATAGACTACATCTTTGAAGCATTCCTACAAGAAAAAGATTATTGGGAATCGGCTGTGGAGAGTGGAAAGGATACACGTTGGATCCTTTCGCCCAACCCGTATCGTGGAAAGATTCTCATCAAAATAACGCCTTACACCATTATGATACTGTGCAAGTAGTCAATCCTGTTAGAGGTCAAATTTGGGATCCTCATAAATGTTTTTCCGAATTCTCAGTAAAAACATATTTTTGTGTAAATTCAAGTAATTAACATCACTCGCTGCACTGTCAAAAAAAGGTCATCTAACTTCGTATGCCACACCACATTATAGCTATTGGTATATTTACAATAATGTTCATCCGTAATAGATAAACGTAAATAGATAAAGTGCAATTATGCCATTTAACTTAGATATAACTTCATTGTTCCAAACAATTCTTTCGCAAAAACCGTGCACTTTATTTACGTTTTTTTTTTTCGTGTACGATTTGCAAGATTGTTCTTGACGGTTCATTTTAACCTCATTTATAGCATGCACCATATTGAAATATAACTTTCCCGTTTACAAAATACGATATAGGCTTAATTTGCTGACGCCAACTGAATCACTTATTTGCTTCACAGAGTTTTAGGCTGCTTCGCGGTAGCTTACCTGTAGTTTTTCTTTCTACATTATTATGCTTCTAAAAACATTTTCAGAATCAATTTGCTTTGTTCTAAAGTTATTCCTAGCCTACCCATTACTTCGAATCAATTACACTTTAACCGTTAGTTAAATTTCTAGCTATAATATTTATTGTTAATTTCTTCGCCGCAACTATATATATATATATATATATATAGCCTTTGCTACTTCGATTGCTTTTTCGAATTTAAGGCCACTGTTACGTGGTTGAATAGATAACGTATTGGATACTATGTATAAGTGATTATGCTTCGACGGACAGACCTCTTCGTTTCTACTTACACCATATCTATATCTATACGCAGCAACATCATTAATGGGAAACGGGATCGACGTGGATGATGGAACCTTAATTGCAATATCCTTACGGTAGATATCGGGATCTTTTAAGAAAATCAACCCAATGCATCGTTCATTGCAACCAGTAACTACTTAGCGGGTTATTAAATTTCATCCCGAGCTTTTTCTGATTACAAAAGGCGAGTGTGATTCGTCTTGTGCTTGTGACCTATCCTAGTTACTGCACTGCCTCTAACATCCAGGGCCGAATCACCGGGCATATTAAACACATCCTGCCGGACGTAGTTAGGAACGTCCTCGTGATCGTGGCGATACATATATCATAGGAATAACAAAGCGTAGAAGAGAGACAAAACAATAAATGCTCGTTCAGCGATCTAAAAAAAAATCACATCTGCTATACGCCGAATGATCGCGCAAATGAGCGACAAACATTTTCTAGATCTTCATATATATACCCCCTAAGTCTTAAATTATTTCTGACTCACCTTCTATATATCTGTATATATGATTCGAAGATCAGGAAGGCAGGTATGATAAAAGTTTCGGACGGAGTGCTCATATGTTTCCGCTTATCATTCGAACCTTTATAGGCTTGCTTCGTAAATTAAGTAAATTCTTCAGCTTCTTTGGCGTCCGTTCTTTTCAACCCGGAACTGATAACTCACACTCGAATTTCTCGATGTGAAGACGTTATTTTCGGTAAGGATTTTTTTTGGCAAATATCTAGGAATATTCGAACGATTAATACCGGTGTCGTTGCCTTCAAAGCCCATTCTACTAGGGCTGTTTATGGCTTCAGTATGACCCAAGTCAATGTAAGCCTTGTTCTGGTTTTTTTTTTTATACGGATCTTCCGATAAAGGAACAAGATAAAGAGGTTGTAGTAGCTCGTAACATAGATTCGTTAAGACTTTTTTTTTATCAGATGAATATAATCATTTATCTGAATCAAATATCCGGCAACCACTAGGCGAACGATATCAAGGAATTTACGTCGGTTTACGTTGAGAGGTTGCGCCACGCGTCCTTTGAAGTTTACGGACGTTATATCAAAATCGATTAGGTCTTATTGCCTGGCTGTTTTTCTTCGCAGCATTGAGATTCTTTGCAGTTTCAATGTATGGATACCGGCGAAATATATCAAATAATAACCATAGGCGACAGGGATAAGCATCAAAAAAGGAACAAAACAAAAAATGAGTAGAAATATATACCGAACAGAAATTTTTACTTACGATGCAAGTGTAACTTTGACTAAGTGACAAGCCTGCGTCGAGACGTGGGTTCTATAGCCTTTGTCTCCTTATTTACCCAAGAGCATAGGCTTCCTTAGGGAACGTAAGTTTAGCATTTTTCAGCAGGTATTCAATTTATCGCAACCAACAAGCAGCCAAAACAAAAGTAAACCTTTGACGCGATGGCTTATGTAAACTGGCCATTTATCCTTTTACCATAATAATGAGTGAAACGACAGGCCATAATATAGCTGATTATCAGATACTGAAAACGTATTCATCCTGAGCTTCTCTGGCCCCTGAGAGGATATTAAACGTAAATAGAATTATTCATAATCTTTAAATCACCGAAATTACTACC